TAATTTTCATCAACTCCATCTCAGAAGTTTGCGTGTTGCTTTTTTGAAAATAATAGTCTGAAATAGCTTCTGCCAGGTGATCAGGAGTCTATAATCAAGTTCTAAAAAGATTAATGTCTAAAGACAATTTTAAGCAATGTAAGCTCCTTAGCAGAAGGATAGCCTAATGTACTGATTAAGAGCATAGAGTTTGGAACTGAGCTTTATCAGGGTTCAAATCCAAGCTCCACCATTTATTATTTGTAGGACCTTGAGCAAAATGCTTCATCTCTGTGTAACTCAGTCTCCTTAGCTGTAAGACGGAGATAATAATAGAATATACTTCATAGGATTGATGTGAATATTAAATGAATCACCATATGCAAAGTGTTTAGAACAGTGCCTGATACAAAGTGAGTTCTATGTAAGTGGGTGGTGGAGTCCTTTTTATTTGACAATGTGCTGAGATAGACATAAGGCTAATTCTATTTAGGCTACAGTGCATGTAAACATACTAGTTATTCAGCTCTATGCATTTGTTGCTGTTTAAAAAGTATGGAGACCTTGAAAGCTTTTTTTTTTTTTAAAAAAGATTTATTTATTTAGGGGCACCGGGTGGCTCAGTTGTTAGGCATCTGCCTTCGGCTCAGGTCTTGTTCCCAGGGTCCTGGAATCGAGTCCCACCCACATCGGGCTCCTTGCTCCGCGGGAAGCCTGCTTCTCCCTCTCTCTCTCCCACTCCCCAGCTTGTGTTCCCTCTCTGGCTGTGTCTCAATCTGAGAGAGAGAGAGAGCAAGCAAAGGAGGGCAGAGGGAGAAGGAGAAGCCGACTCCCTGCTGAGCATGGAACCTGACTCGGGGCTTGATCTCACAACCCTGAGATCGTGACCTGAGCGGAAACCGAATCAGAAGCTTAACACACTGAGCCACCCAGGCGCCCCGAGACCCTGAAAATTTTAAACAACTAATCTTTTATTGATTTCAAACTAATGGGTAGTTACTGTCAGTCACTGGAGTCTGATGTGTGCACGTTCATGTGTCCTTGTGTGTGTGTGTGTGTGTGTATGTGTGCGCACGCATACATATTCATATGCGTTGGGAGTAGCGTATGGTATGTGAGTTATGTCTGTATAAAGAAGCAGAGAAACAGGATGTGCAATATTCTGTATATTGGAGGTATCCATTTTCCTATCCTATAGATATTCTCCTGCCACCGCAGGAATTCCCCTAGTGCTACACCTTCCTCAGATGGCAATGTCAGCCCTGTCTACTCATCTTTCATTACCAGGGAGTCTCTGTTCCTCAGTGAATTTCCTTTCCATTCATTTTCAAATGACTTTTCTGGGCCTTGTTGAATATGCACAAGACAGAGGCAGAGGTATGTGTATAGAGAGATTTGCATAAGTGTAAATATAGTATATGTACCCATATTTAAGTGATATGATGATAATATTGTGTTGCCATCTCAGAGTGAAAGCTAATTAATTCAGCTATTGAGATGATAATGATTTCTTTCTCAGTTAATACAAGAGTTAAAAAAAAAACAAAAAACCTGCAGAATTGTCCTAGCACTGTTCCTTTGATTCATCTTGGAATAAGGAGGTTTATTTCTGTTAACTATTGAATTATCAGTATCTATGATGGTTTTAAATGGAATCCTTCCTGGGAGGGGCTGAATATCCATGAATATTCAGGTTGACTAAAGAACATCATTGAGCTCATTGATTTGGTACCAGGAAAAAAACTAACTTCCTTCCTCCCTCCCTCCGTCCCTGCTGAGGGGACGGAGGGAGGGAGGGAGGGGCCTCTGGGATATTTCCTTTCTTCCTTCCTTCCTTCCTTCCTTCTTCCCTCCTTCCTTATTCCTTCCTTTTTTCCTTTTCTTGCCTAGAGACTCTTTTAAAATGCATGCTTTGGTATTTGCACTCCCAGTATCAATGTTGATCTGAAGCACAAAGTCTTTTTTTAGACTGTGTAGTTGGATCTGACATTTAGGAAAATGGTAAGATCTTTCCTACTGAAAGTTATACCAGCTGACAGATTCACAAGCAAGTCTATGACTTTTGTAAACCTTGCTATCTCTAACTTTTTCTTCAGCCTCTGTTTTTATGTTGAGTTGGTTACCAAGTCCTGAGTTTCCCTGTTTCCTCCTCCCTGTTGTCACCATCTAGAATCCCCAAGGATTCTTCCCAAGATGCAGGTTAGGTCACACCCTCTTCTGCCAACACTCTCTAATGGCTTCTCTTTCTGCATGGTAAAAACTCAACAGCTTTTGCATCATGTCGAAGGACACTTAACCATATTCTGTCCCACTACATGCCCTTACCCACCTTCCACTAATTCTCCCTATACTCTACCCTTCTACCAAAATAGATCATCTAACCTTCCTTGGCATTTCCGTAACTTTCTCATTTCCCAGAATGTCCTTCCTTCCTCACAGTCCATGTTTCAAAACCCTGTTTATTCTCCAACACCCAGCTAAATTCTACTTCCTTCACTGAAGTGCTCTCTGATTTCCCCTACTCAGAATTAATCAGGGCCATTCCTAGCCGTATAATGCCTTTTCCTCAAGACACTCAATTTCTAGCTATTGGGACATTGTCATATTATACTTACTTTACTAGAACAATTTTTATTGCCTTCTGCTGGAAAAATTGTCATAACGAATGTACAAATCTCCATGTCTGTGATGAAATTTCTGCTTGAGTTTGAATCCTCCTGATCCACTTATTAACCATGTGATCATGGCCAAGAGCCTTAATCTCTGTGCCTCTCTTCCACATCTGTAATATGGGAACATATAATATTATCTTCATCACAAAATTGTTATGAAGGTTAAATAACTAAATGCAGGTGAAGTGGTTAGAACAACAGCCAGGGAGTGCTTAATAAACATTAGCTATTATTCCAACAGGCTGTTAAAATAGGAAGGACTCTTGGTGTCTCAGTTTCAGCATTCATGAAGACGCTAGTTGCTACATCCAAAGTGAGCCCATCTTGCAGTGGGTAGTTAAGAAATAGTTAAAACCTCACCTACTTTGAGGGTGTGAAGCAGTCAGGAGTTGGAAACTCTAGAGTAGTCTTTAAAGATTTTGGAGCGTGTGACTTGTGTGCTATAAATCCCATTGCAAAGGGGGGTCGTGTGGGATGCGGGTGTCTTCCCTGAGGACCACCACTGAAAATATGATACTTTTGTGAGGATTAAGGAAAGCGTGTCCCCCCTTCCCCAGGTGTAATCTATACATTAAGTAGGCCCTGCTACCCCATGCCCAACAAAAGGGTCTTCAACAGGATCACTTGAGGAAATTGATATGTATCCCTTACAGCTGAGGGACATGGGAGACTGGCATCTGACTTTCAACTGAAAAGCTGAAAGGGCAAGCAGTATGGTGGCTGCTTATGGTTAAATCGGAGAGATTTCTCCTCCCCACAGTTTGCTGGACCAGAGAAAGCCGGCACAGGGTTGTCTTAAGCTCATGACAAGAAGGCCACATGGAGGGATTTCAGAGTAAAAAGGATGGTGGTGAATTGCCAAATTCCTACATGTGGAAGAAGGGGATATAAGTCATGGGCTAGAATAGAGATTTATTTGCCTTCATTGAGGAATTGCAAAGGAACAAATCCCAGTGGTGAGCATTCTCTAAAGAACCCAACGCAAGAGAGAAGGAGTCAATTTCAGAAACTTGCTAGGCACAAGCCAGCTTCTAACAGTGCAGGCAACTAAGCACTTTCCTGTTAATTCTTCCCCTTGCCTCCCACAATCCTCTCCTTGTTCACTGCTTCACCTTGACTCTGCAAGTGTCAGAAATTACAGTTAGCGGGGTGGAGGAGAAAGAGGAGAGGTGGCAAGTGGGGAAAAAGACAAAGAAAGGCAGCTGTGTTTCCTTCCTGCCTGCGGCTTAATTGTAACAGGCTGCCGCTGTGGCTATCCTTTCTCAGGGGAGATGTTTGCTTTTAAATCAAGGTTGGCATTTGTACTATTACACTAGGCTGGGCATATGAGATACTGAACTGAAGCCATCACTGTGACCTCTCCCAGTCTGCCTGGTAAATAGCAACTCGTTTTGCAAGGCTTAGCTCAACACTTACTTCTGAGTCTGATCTCTTCACCCAGAACTGACCATTCTCCCTGCTTCCTCTGCCCAGCCCAGCCCAGGAACACTTAATTTCACTTGTTTGGTTGTGGGCATGGCTTTAACACTATAAACGCTAAGAAGGCAGGGACGACTTACTTGCCTTTGTACCACTGGCCCCTAGAGCTCACTGGTACACAGCTGTCTCCCAATAAAGATATAAGGAAAGTAACCTATCTTAAAAAAACAAAGCAAAGGGGAGCCTGGGTGGTGCAGTGGGTTAAGTGACGGACTCTTGGTTTCAGCTCAGGTCGTGATCTCAGGGTCCTGAGACTGATCCCCGTGTCAGACTCCAAGTTCAGTGGGGAGTCTGCTTGAGATTCTCTCTCTCTTTCTACCTCTGTCCCTCCCACTGCTCCCTCTCTCTCTCTCAAACAAATAAATAAATCTTTAACCACTCCCCCAAAAGTTAAGATTTTTCTTAAGAGAGGCTATAATTCAAACGTGTCTTTATCTTTGAGCGAGAAATTGAAAATAACAGCCTTCTGGATGTTGCAGTAAGGTTGAAAGTACCTTTGCCACCTGTACACTCAAGGATGATCTGGGTGCTCTTCAGGCGTTCTTTTTTAAATTTTTTATGGTTTTAAAGATATTATTTATTTATTTATTTGAGAGAGAGAGAGACACACAGTAAGAGAGGGAACACGAGCAGGGGGAGTGGGAGACGGGGAAGCAGACTCCCCACGGAGCAGGGAGCCCGATGTGGGGCTTGATCCCAGGACCTGGGACCATGACTTGAGCCGAAGGCAGACGCTTAATGACTGAGCCACCCAGGCGTCCCTCTCCAGGGGTTCTTGAGACAGTGCTCTGGCATGCCTTAATCCTAATGTGTTTTTCTGAGTAGAAGTTGTTAGGAGCCCTTTTATTCCTTTCTGTGTTTCTTCCACAGGTTTCTTCAGGAGAAGCATTACCAAAAATGCCGTGTACAAGTGTAAAAACGGGGGCAACTGTGTGATGGACATGTACATGCGAAGAAAGTGCCAAGAGTGTCGCCTAAGGAAATGCAAAGAGATGGGAATGTTGGCTGAATGTATGTATACAGGTATTCACATCAAGCAATTAAATTCCACTAAAAATCTCTTAAGGAGGCAGAAGGCAGGTAACTCATCTGATTAGTACTTCACATACTAAAGAAGAGATTGACTAAGCCGTCCAAGTTCTTGAAAAGGGTAATGAGCCACTGAAATTGTCCAAAGTGTCAGCTACAGAGTATTTTATTCCCCTGAAAGAAGCAGCTTTTTGTTGTTCCTTGTTGCAAGAATCACATGTGGGGTGAAGTGGCGTTAATCTACAGTGAAAGTAACATGTTGTAATAAGCTACCGAGAATGACAACAGCCTAAAAATTTTCTCCAAATTTGATTTAATGTCTTTATTATTGTTTAATTAGCATAAAAATTCGCAGTTGTGGGAAAGATTAAGAATGTTTTATAAGGTATAAATGCCTCTGAATTGTCTAAATAGAGTTTTAAACCAAGTCATTTTATTAGTAGTCCTTCTTCTCTTAGGGCAGCTTTGAATCAATTTGTATAGGTTTACACAGGAAATTAACTACTGTGGGTTTTAATATAATTTGGCCCTTTGATCTGATAAAAAGACACTGTATTAACTGCTGGTTTTGTGAGGAACCATAATCTTCATCAATTTGGAATGCATGCTAGTATATAACATATTAATTTTTCATTCTGCGAATTCTACAGACCACTCAGATTTTGAGATATGTCCTGTTCCTCAAAACGCAAATGACAAACAAATGTCACCAAGGGGATGATAACATTCAGGGAGGGAATGCCACATGGAATAAAAGCCTTTGGAAGGTGACTCCTATTCTATTGTTCCCACACTGTACAGGCGACTGGGATGGACCCAGAGAAATAATGTGTGCAGGAGGGGGAAAAATAGGTCAGTGTAAATAATCCAGCTCTGGGTGGATGAAAGTTTTATAGTAGATGATCACTATCTCCCCTTAGCATATGAAACAAGAGACTGCAGTAGGGGCTACTGCTGGAATCCAATCTTGCAATGGAAATGCTTACTTTGATACTGGGGAGTTCATGTTGCTCATCACTTAAACATGAACTCATTCCAATGGGAGCACTGAGGACATTTTTCGTGATTCCACCGACAAGAGTCTGTACTATTATTAATGTAAACTTGTCCAGTAACAGATGCAGAGCTTTCATGTGATCTTATAAAATAAATTCCTTGGACAAAGAAATTCCTGGAACTTAGTTTCATTAACATTGAGAGAATAAGGATGTTAAATGGGAATATGGAAGATTGTTCTGCATTATTTTTTATAGCTCTGTTTAAGTATAAATTAATGATGATATTATATGATTCTTCAAAAGGAAATTTCAAAGTCCCTTTGAGTTATTTCCATCTCTAACTATGTTCTCAATAATGTATACAGTTCTAAAAATTAAGAAGATTTAAAATTTTCCCTAAAGGATGTTGACATTTGTTTTGCTCAGTATGTGTTTACTTATGTGTGTTTAATGTGAAATTGAATATACTTTTTATGATACAGCTATGTGAACATGGATGAGAAATAATATTAACGTTATGTTGTGAAACACTAGCTTTCAGGGTCCCCTAGACCTGGAATGGGGAGAGTGTCATTCACTTTTTTATTGACTGAATACCTTGCATTTGTACAATGCTTTGGTATTACAAATTCTTTCCATAAAGTACATTTTTTAAAAAAAGCCCCAATTATCCTTATTCTTTTTTTTTTTTTAAGATTTTATTTATTTATTTGAGCGAAAGAGAGAGCACATGAGAGAGGGGAGGGTCAGAGGGAGAAGCAGACTCCCTGCCAAGCAGGGAACCTGATGCGGAACTCGATCCCGGGACTCCAGGATCATGACCTGAGCCGAAGGCAGTTGCTTAACCAACTGAGCCACCCAGGCACCCCCAATTATCCTTATTCTATACAAAACTCTTTGAGGTAGATAGTTTTCCTATTTTATAAATGAAGAAACTGAGAGTCACAGAGGGATAAATTTCTTGTTCAAGGCCAAGTCTCAAAATTCAGAAGGGCTAGAATTAGCTCTGTGCCAAATTGCATGGATGTGAGCCTCATGACCACAGACCCAATATGACTCTGTGGTGAAATCTGTGTTTTATTTTTTCAGGCTTGTTAACTGAAATTCAGTGTAAATCTAAACGACTAAGAAAAAACGTGAAGCAGCATGCAGATCAGACCATTAATGAAGACAGCGAAGGTCGGGATTTGCGACAAGTGACCTCGACAACCAAGTCATGCAGGGTAATAACATGCAATGGTGTCCGCTAAAGCCCATAGCCGCTGAGCTTCTAGGCATGTAGTGACCTGGCTGGGAGGCTTTAAAAAATTAGAGCCACCATAAGCAGAATTTCATTCCAGTTGTGCATTAAGTGGGTTTCTTCTTTTTAATCGAGAAAGTAATGTCTGCTTTGGTGTAGAAATTCAAATAATAGCAGTAAATAAAGTAAAATGAACACTGTCTGTCTCCCTGGCTCCATTCCATTCCTACTACCAAGAGGTTGCCAGTAGAAATGGTTCAGTGTGGAAATGGATTTTTCAGGTTGAGGGTTTTTTCTTTTTTTTAAGATTTTATTTATTTGACACAGAGAGAGAGAGAGAGAGAGAGAGAGAGCGTACAAGTAGGGGAGTGGTAGGCAGAGGGAGAGGGAGAAGCAGGTTCCCTGAAGAGCAGGGAGCAACCCCCGCTGCTGGGCTGGATTCCAGGACCCTGGGATCATGATCTGAGCCAAAGGCAGACACTTAACCCACTGAGAACAGCAGGCACCCCTTAGGTTGAGTTCTGATGACCATTTTCTTTTCTCTGTCATTAAGAAGGGAAATGTAAAGTGGGAAGGATGTGTATTCAGTAGAGGTTTGTGGATTAGTCCCTATCAATGGGTAAAATTGAGTCGATACACATCTGTGGAACAATAGAGAAAAGCCTTTCCCATAGAGCTCACAAATTATGCAAGAAATCCTTTGAACAAATTGAGACAAAATAGAGGAACAACATTTTGGATGATTGGTTAAACACATGGTGATAATCCACAGGGTATATGGAGGAACTTTAATTTGCCATTAGTTGAGAAAACAAAAATCCATGCTTGCTTAAGTCACACTCTTCTTAATACTTATTATACTACCGACAAGGAAAACCTCAACCACATTTAGTTTTCCAAGTATGGTATTTTTGCATTCATTTCAGAAAAAAATAATTTCATATTATCTTGCCATAGTACTTCATCAATCACACTTTGGTATGAGGAATCAAAGAGTTGACACAATTATCCACACTCTTCAAAAGATGCTAGTAAGGGAGAAAGTGATGTTCGGGGTCTGAATTGTCCAGATTGATGACTCTACTTCAGGGCTAGGCAAACACTTTCTTCTGTAAAGGGTCAGATATTTTAGGCTTTGGCCACAAGGTCTCCATGACAACTACTCAACTCTGCCATTTTAGTGCAGAAGCAGCATAGATAACACATAAACAAGTAAGTATGGTTGTGTTCCAATCGAGTCACAAAACCAGGTGGGTTTGGTTGATGGGCCATAGTTTGTCAACTCTTGCTTTATATGAATGCTCTAAAATGTGGGAACTTTTCCTTAGTGAACTTTCACTGAAATTCTCTCTGAATGGGCTTGATACACTTCATATCCAGACTATTATATATTACCAAGAAGCACATGAAATGGATATTTTGTTATCCCTATTTTACAAATAGAAAAATGAACAACTTGGGACACATTTAGTGAAATGTGATATGGCTTGCTCAAGGACCCAGAGTAAGCAATTATGGTACACATTATATCAGAGTGCATAGTTCCTGCCATATTTAGGGCTTTTATCAACAATTTCTGAGATAAGTTTACTTCAGATGGACGCACATATACAAAAAATGCCTTATAACCACCTTCCCTAACACCTTTTATTTTTTTGCCAGTGTAGGAGAAAACTGAACTCACCCCAGATCAACAGAATCTTCTGCATTATATTATGGATTCATATAGCAAACAGAGGATGCCTCAGGAAATAACAAATAAAATAGTACGTACAGGTATCTGAAAATACATGGGTTTAAAGTTCATATTTTCTGGAGCTTTTAGTACCTTGGAGGTAGAATTTATATATGAATTTGTTATTTTGAAATAACTAGAGCTGAGAATTTAGTTTATACATTTAAACTTTTAGCAGCATTGAACAAAGAATAAGAAGTCTCATATCTATCTAGGTGATAGTAATTATCCTCCAAGGATCTGAAAAATATGAGCTGGAATTTAAATTTTATTATCCAAATCTGGTTCTTTAGTCTAATGATTTTGTGTTGGTTTATCCTTTTACCTACTTATTTATCATTTGCTTTTTTTCCTCTTAAAATTTAGTTAAAAGAAGAATTCAGTGCAGAAGAAAACTTTCTCATTTTAACTGAAATGGCGACGAGTCATGTACAGATTCTTGTAGAATTCACAAAAAAACTGCCAGGTATTTTTACATGTAGATACTTTTCTGTTATACTGTGCAATATTCTCGTGACATTGAGAGAGTTAGTTCTGTTCATTGTAAAGTAGTGATTATTTTACATCTGATTTAAATTAATGTGTCTAAATACTATAGGCATGAAATGTTAGAACCAGGTGAGATATGTGAAATCATTTATAATAGTTCTTCTGAATTGATAGACTAAGAAATTGAGACTTTGCAAAGTTGTCATTTATCCATTTGTTCATTTAATAAACATTTGTTGATACCTATTTCATACTAAGTACCTAGCTATTACCTTCAAGGGGAATGATTAAAGAAAGGTCATAATAAAAAATTATATACAAAGTGCTGTTTGAACATAGAGGAAGAGGTTGCTAATTGTCTGAGAAAGACAGGGAGACTTCAAAGAAAATAATATTTTAATTGGGTCTAAAAGATAAAGCAGTTCTCCTGGTGGTACAGAAGAGAAGGAAACTTCCAAGTTGAGAGATCTGCTTGTGAAAATGTAAAATATAAGGCATACATAAAAACAGGGTTATTAGAGATGAGAGAGGAAAATTCCATGTGATTGCAGCATAGTGTGGTGGGCTCCTTGGTTAGACATAAGGTAGTTGGTACCAGACTGATAAGGGTCTAACTAAGGAATTTAATAATCATCCCCTGGATGGTAGAGAACTTTTGGTGCCTCTTTGTTGTTGTTGTTTGTGTTGACAGGGAAGCTATGGATTTATGTTATATAGATATGACTTGATCAGTTTTATATAAATGGATTTGAATGGGGAGAGACCAAGGAGGAGGGATCAGTTAGGATGCTACCGCACTGATCAAGGCAGAGGGCTTGGAATAAAACAACAGCAGTGGGAGATGGAGAGAAAACAAAATGAAGAGAGATTCAAAAATTGATAGGGCTTAATGAACAATTATATTTGTGGAATGAGGGAGAGGAACTTATCCATAGTCATTTGGATGGTGCCAGTACAGAAACTAGAATTCAAGATTCTTATCTCCCAGCTTCCCATTTCTTCCAGCTACATTATCAATGCTATCTAAGCCAATACATTTAGGTTGTTTCAGTGTTTTAAAAATATATTAGTACAATAGAATTCCGTGATCTAGAAGAGTATGATTAAAACCTTGTACAACAGCATAACCCTGCAATATTAAATTATAGAAAGTAACTTCTGATGTAAGATTTTAATTAGACAGGTTAATTTGTCTTCTTTGGCCAGCATTATGCTTTTATTTTATTAAAGTGTCATGGATAGACATAAGCCTACATAAAACTCATAAAATGTGAGGAGAAAGTGCTCATTATCATTTTAACATTAATATTCTCTCATTTTTTTATTAACAGTGAAAGAAGGACTTAATTTGTTATATGCTAATTAAGGCAATCTTGATCAAAAACAAGTTTATACAAGAGTAGAAAGTGTGGGAGGAGGAACTGGGAAAGGGAGAAATATGATGTCTTTGGTTGTTTGTGAAAAGAGAGTTTTTCAGTTCAAATGGTCTGTTGGTCTTGAATCACAAAATAATTGAAGAAAAAATCTTCATAAAAGGTAGCTTATCTGAAGACAACAGCAATAACTGACACATCTCTTTATTCCCTGTGATTAGACTAGTTCCTGAGGGGAGGAAAGAGTACAATTAATGTACGTTTAATGAGTAAAGCAAGGGCACCTGGCTGGCTCAGTTGAAAGAGCATGTCACTCTTGATTTGGAGGTTGAGAGTTTGAGCCCCACATTGGGAGTAGAGATTACTTAAAAATAAACTTTTAAAAAATAAAAAAATAAAAAAACTTTTTAAAAAAGAAAAAATTAAAATAACAGAAGGAGATAAAAGACCCAAAACTCCTGAGAAATTTTAACAACAGTAACAATATAGTTAAAATTAACATTTTAACAATAATAATGGAAATGGCATTAGATAAATAGTAATAATAGTGCTATAATTCCAAAAATGAAAGGGTGTTTGTGAAAGATAGTAGAGATGAATCATTTCATTCTGTAGTTCATTGAACATAATCTGTGCCAGGCATTGTCCAGGGTGCTGGAGACCCTGCAGGCACAGCTCCTGTCCCCAGAGGAGCTCTTAGATTCACTAAGACAGTGATTCTTAATCCTTCTCATTACTCTCTTCTCTAAACTCCCATTGTTATTTAATACTTTTCTAAGCCATTTAGACCCTGATGGTATAGTTTATATGTACTGTATGCGCGCGCATGTGTGTGTATGTGTATATATATGTGCATAGGAGCTTGTGTTTGTTTCCCATTTATTCAGTTATCCAATTATTCAACAAATAATTCTTGGATATCAATTATGTGCCAGCCCCTGGGGATACACAAGTGAACAAAACGGCAAAGTCTCTGCCCCTAGGAAGTTTATACTCTATTAGATGTGGCAGACAATCAACAAATATGCAAATAAATTTATTATGTTAGGTAGTGGTAAATGCTATGAATAAAAAATAAAGCAGGTAGGAACCAGTGAGTTCTGGGGAGTATTATTTTAGTAGGATTACCTTGAGGCAGAGATCTGCATACAGTGAGGGAGTGAGACATGGGGATTGCTGGGGAAGGGCATTTACCCCTGAGGCAAAGCAAGCTTGTTTGTTCACAGCAGAGCCAGGGGTCAGTGTGGCTAGAGCACAGTGAGTGAGGGGAAGGAGAAGAAGAAATGATGTCAGGGAGGCTGCTGGGGACTGTGGCATATAAGCCAGGATAAGGACTTTGGATTTTCCACGTGTGTATGTTCCTTCAGGTTATCAATCCATTCCCATATTTCTCTGATTTCTTCTACCCTGCGTGATACAGTGCTGAGCTCAGAGCAGGTATCTTAACATGACCTTGATTCTTTTGTTTTTTTGAAAATGTCCCCATTGTCCAGATGAACTAATGAATCAGCCAAATATTCCCTTAAATGTCTGGATATATGTAAAGATTTTTTTCTGGTTTGTGGATGCTTCCATTCTGCAGAGTTGACCCTATGACACCAGACGTGACTAATATATTGGTTCAAAGAGAATTTGTTTTCTTCTAATTTCTGAGGATTGCTTCATCTGAATCAGTCTGTTCTGCCTTAATATATATTTTTGATGTGGATCTGACATCCTTTTTTTACCCAACTTGTTCAACAAATTCTACTCAACGAAGATAAAAGTCAGCTTCTATTTGGGAGAGAACAATAGATACTTAATGACTCAACCTACCCAATTTTTTTTTTTTTTTTTTTTTTTTTACTGCTCCAGTCACTGAAAGGGGAACTTTATTGAGGCCCCAGGGCTTTGGGGCTCGGGCAGGAGGCCGCCCTGAGGGCAAAGGAAGAGCCGGTGGAGGGGCCTTATTTGACCTTCTTTTTAGGGTGCAGGTTGTTGGTGTGGCCGCACTTCTTGTGGCAGTCGACAGCGCGGGGGTGCAGGCGAGCATAACACTGCGGCAGATCATCTTGTCGCAGTTGTATTTCTGGGCCAGCTGGGGTGGAGGGAAGGCTCGATGATGCCACCCCGGAGGCGAAGCACCAAGTGCAGGGTGGACTCTTTCTGGATATTATAGTCTGACCGAGTACGGCCATCTTCCAGCTGTTTGCCCGCAAAAGTCAGACTCTGCTGGTCAGGCGGGATGCCCTCCTTGTCTTGGATTTTGGCTTTGACATTCTCAGTGGTGTCACTGGGCTCAACCTCGAGGGTGATGGTCTTGCCCGTCAGGGTCTTCACAGAGATCTGCATCTCTGCGTCTGGGGCACGAATCCGCAAGGCCGCCGCCACCAAACCACTCGGCCACCTCGTTGAAGAGAAAGAGGGCGGCGGAACCTCAACATACCCAATCTTAAAACAATTATAAAATCACTTTATGGAAATGCTTTATCAATGGGGATGATAGTGCTGATGAAATATTGTTAATATAGAATTCACAATTCCCTCATACTGATTTGATTATCACCTTCACCCAGGATTTCAGACTTTGGACCATGAAGATCAGATTGCTTTGCTGAAAGGGTCTGCAGTTGAAGCTATGTTCCTCCGTTCAGCTGAGATTTTCAATAAGAAACTTCCAGCTGGACATACTGACCTACTGGAAGAAAGAATTCGGAAGAGTGGTAAGTGATTTGGTTAATGGTAAAGAGTTTGCTCCTGCAAGTAAGAATTAAATAGATGAGGCGTTTAGAGGGTTGGTTCAAAAATCCTGGTTGTATTAGCAAAATAACAAAAATACTCTTTGCCATATATTAAGATTAAGGGCCAAAGGAGGAATTTTTTAAAGTTTGGAAAATTAGTCTGATAAAAAACATAGCATACAGGAGCTGAGATAATTCAGTCCAAAAAAAAGATTCATTTGTTCAAAACCTTCATGTATGAATGACTATGAATCAAACTATTATCCATCTCTATTCAAAGCAAAATAAAAGGAATTATTAATAGCAACATTTAAACCTCATTTACTAGGTTTTAGACACTGTCCTAAATACTTTACATATATGATTTCATCAAATCCTTGCAAAGTCCTATGAAATAAGTACTGTTATTATTCAAATTTAATAGATAAGGAAACTGATACAGAGAGTGGCTAATAACTTTCCCAGAGACAGACGGGAAGTCTGACATTAGAAGCGCTGTGTCTAAACTACTATACTACACTGCCTCTCAATAGACAAAATAAAATAATAGTATGAGTTGAACTTACTATGGAGGAATACTGTGACAGAAAGAGCTAAGAGACATTGGAATAAATTTCTAGGAATTCTGTGCAATTTCTCTTAGAAGAGTTTTAAAATAGGATAAGTTTTTATTTTCCTGAGATACTTTATATATGGATTGGGAGGGGAGGGATGAATGAAATGAAATGATGGCTCAAGATCTTTTCTTCCCAAAGTATTATCCTCTTATGAGTGACTAGAACAAGTTTAAGTACTTATAAAATCAGTGTTTTAGAATAGATATTGGAAGGAAAGTTTTTAGGAAGTTCTGCATTTGCAATATAAGGAAAATAATTGAAAAATTGAAAATTATTTTTTAAAAGCAGCCATCCCATAATTGTGTTTTCTTCTCTTAAATACTGAAAGCATAGTTATCATCATTGATGGATTTAAAGAATGCACATTTTAAAAAGATGCATTATTCATATATATCCATTGATTTATTAGTTTAACATATATTTAAGGGCAAGGTATTGTGGAGGTAGCGAAGAGAGGAATCAGGCATCTTCCTTCTCTTAGGAAGCTTATAGTCTAGTAGGAAGACATGAACTGTACATTGATAGTTTTAATAAAATGTGGAAGGAAAGTGAGCTGGGGTGACTTCTAGTTGGTAAGGCTCTGGAGAGATTTCATTGGCAAGCTGGGCCTTGAATGATATTAGGATATGAATATTCAGGGTGGAGGTACAAGAGGGAAGGACCAACAGAAACAAAGGACTGAGGCAAGAAAGCTCAGGTTATGCACACAAAGAAGAATGAATAGCTCAGTTTGATTGGATTAAGAGTTACATCAAAGGGAAATAGAATTTTTTAAAAGTCAGAGTCAAATGGTGAGGGCCTTGAATGCTAGGATAAAGGCTTTATTCTTTATTTTCTAAGAAATAGGGAGACATTGAAGATTTTTGAGCAGGGGAGGAAAAACATCAGTCATGCTTTACAAATCTTCCAGCAATGTTAGGATAAGCCAGGATGGGAGACATCTCTCAGGAGACAAGAGGTTTCAAGAACATGCTCCCAGAAGAAATGGAGAGAAGGGGAATAGTCTGAGAAATATATTGTTGGAGATTTTCACCCTTTGAAAGACAGTATATTATCAAGAAATACGGATTCTGATTCTGGACAGATTTTATTTTACATGTTCTGGAATGTATTTTGTGTGTGTGTGTGTGTGTGTGTGTGTGTGTGTGTTCATTCATCTGTCCATTCATCCAGGAGGCTGGGGGTAAGGGAGAAGGGTTGAATCAGGTAACCTCCAAGGTACCATCCAGTTCTATAAGTCTTACTGCTTGTCTTCTCTTAACTAATCAATTTTTCTGACTGCTGGTTTAGCCAGTCACTTGGGCAGCTACTTGAGTATCTTGATTTTTTTTTTTATTGTGATAAGAACACTTAACCTGAGATCTACACTATTAGCAAAATTTTAATTGTACAATATAGCACTATTGCCTACAGGTACAATGTTGTAAAGCAGATATGCATCTTGCTTAACTGAAACTTTATGTCCATTGAGTAGGAGGGGGAAATGAGTTACTAATCAATAGGCACTATAAAGGAGATCTTTCTATTCAACAAATGTACATCGAATACTGGATTTGTGCCAAGCACTGTATAATTATTGAGGGTATGGAGATGAGGAAATATGATCTTTGTCCCCTGAGAACTTACAGACTAATGGGTAAGTTGTATAAGCAAAGGATTCCAAAACAACGTGCAGTGTAATTGGGACTAGGAGGGGTGTATACGCAAAATGAAATTCAAGCAGAAAGATGTGCTTGCCTTCCCTGAGTCTACTTGGTGAGTCAGAAAAGGCTTAAAAAGTTGACAAGTGAATCATGGAGGATGGTTAAGAGCTCGTCAAACCACAAAAGTCTGAGAAAGGCATTCCAAGAGCTATAGCCATTAAATAATAATATAGAAATTGCAAGTGCAAAGATGTGGAGGTATGAGAGCATCCATGTGTTAGATTCACAAATACCATGATATGGTATTGTGAAAAATAGTATTTCTGAAGGTGAAATGTAGTAACTGCTAGATTTTTAAGGACATTGTACACCAAAAAAATAGTTTAATATAGTTCTTGTATAATGAGGAGTCTTTGTAATGTTCTGAGCAGATATGACATGACCATAGCAGTACTGTAGAAAAGTCTTTCAAGCAGTAATATGAAGGAAGTTTTAGAGGGATTGAGACAAGTCTATAAAGAAATCAGTGCAATAACTAGGTGAGAAATTGTGAGGGTCTTGCAGGTTAAAAATAGGTACCAAAAAAAAAAAAAAACCCAAAACTTGCTTAACATAGGTTTCAGAACTTGTGATTTTGCAAGTTTCAGAAAAGATCAAAAATAAAGTTTTCCAGAATACGAACTGTATAAATAAATATGTGTGCCTCTAGTTCATAAATAGATTACTTTACCCAAACATCAACCACATATTGTGACAATAAAACCCATTCAAACTCACATGCTGCTTCGTATTTTATTATCTATAATGATGTTTCCATTTATTAATATTTATGAATTTGCTTCTCCCAGTGGATTTTTAGAACATTGCCTCTTCCACACACCACATAAAAACCTGATCTTGCAAGATGACCTTTCAGAATAACTTTTTATTCTTATGCAAATATAACACATTCTTCTTTCTATTGTACATTTAATTCTAGAGAAACATACCATCTCAAAGTTGCCCTGTCTATGCCTACAGAGCTCTTTAAGGAATATAATGTGAAATTTCCTTTCTTGTTCTTCAAATTCATACTCTTTTGTTTGCTATTATTAAATCCCAATTACATACACAAAAGTACTGTCTCCTGAGATACATTTACTTAATGAGGGTTATAGTGTTTTTTTATGTTAATTGAGGCTTCAGAACATTATATCTGACATAACCTGTGGTTGGGTTATTTCTATATAATTCTAGTGCCTCAATTATATTATTCCTAATGTACTATTATGCAAACTAGATTTTAAAGCTGAAATATTTTTTAAAACTAGGAATAATCATATGATACCATAAAACACGACAGCACTGAAATTGCTAACATTGAATGAGTTTACATTTTAACATTAAGGAAATTAGCAATAACTTTTCACAGACCAATGCAAATTGCTCTGTTAACTTCAAATATAAATAACCTCTGAAATTTATGATATTTTTTACCTTTTTTGATTCCCATAACAGACATAAATGAAATATTCAATTCATATGTGTTTATCAGGATGACAGTATATCTTGTGATTTTGTAATGGTTTGCTTTTATACACACCATCTTATTTGTATTCTCGATGGCCCCTAAAGGTGGGTATTATGCTCCTATTTTATAGATGAGAAAACAGGCTTAGAGAAGCTAATTGACCTGCCCAATGTCCCACAGCTAATCAGCAGATTGACTGATTATTAGGAGATGAATGCAGGTGATCCAAATCAAAGCCCGGTGCTCTTTCTATAAGTTGCACCTGTCACTCACCATGGTCTAATATTTGCCCTACTATCAGCTAGTAAGGAATGCAAAGACCTAGTGAAACACAGTTCCTGCCCTTTGGTTGAGAGAGAACGTATAAGGAGCAGGTAGCTATTTGAAATTGGCTTTAGGTAAATGATAAAGTGAATAGAATCAGGGAGGTCAGGGAAATGAGAGATCCTTATTAGCATGATGGAATTGTAGCTAGTTTACAGTAGCATGGTCAAGTGTATTCTGTGTGGTATACTGGGCTTGTTTTTCTGCTCTTTGAATATACATGATTTCACTGCTTTAGCTTCGGCAACAAATGAAAACAATTTTAAGAGCTAACTTTTCTAAAGAAGCTGATGTAAGCTGATTATCGGTTCAGATACTGACTTTGTTTTTTTTTTTTAAGTTTTTTATTTATTTGAGAGAGAGAGAATGAGAGAGAGAGAGCACGAGAGGGAAGAGGGTCAGAGGGAGAAGCAGACTCCCTGCTGAGCAGGGAGCTTGATGTGGGACTCGATCCTGGGACTCCAGGATCATGACCTGAGCCGAAGGCAGTTGCTTAACCAACTGAGCCACCCAGGCGCCCCAGATACTGACTTTGAAAAAAGGGTTGGGAATGTTAAGAACAAATAACAGAATATTTATAAGAAAAGTAAATGCATAAGTCAAAATTTAGAGTTCTTAACACCTTATTTTCCTTTTCAAAGTGTTCATGTAATTTTGGCAGAGACAAATGTGGGGTTCAAACTGTAGGAAAAAGGCATTTCAAAATAAGAGAAAGTATTAAATTAATATAGGAGTCAGCATTTTCATTGGCTCTCAGCTGTGTTCCCTAAGACTTTTATACTTGTCAAGTATTGGACAACATGAATTTATTTATGTATATGCTTCTTCCATTAATCTGTTGACTGCTAGAAGGTTATTCCCAGCATTATCACAGTGTCTGGGACACAG